AAAGACCATAATGCTTGGAAAAGTTCATGGTAAAAGAGGAAATCTGGCAACCAGCAACAAGGTGGATGGACTCAATCTTCACAGCAAAGAACATGAAATTATGTCCGAAGATGTTACAGCGGTGCATGACGCCGGCAGAAAAGGGGGGGCGATCCATGGAGCAGCTCACAGCAAATAGGGGGCTTTATTAACTAAACAGAACAGAAAAGGGGGAACCACAAAATAAAAGGACCACAAGGGGTTAAAAACAAAACCGGAAAATTAAGAACATACTAAAGAGGAACCACAGAGTGCCATGCTAGGAGACAGAATAAAACTGGGAACTAGACTGGGAGATGACCACAGCTACTAACATAGAGTAATAACAACAACTGACTGAGGTAATTAACAAAAGCAGGCAAGTAAATACACTGAAAAACAAGGACTAACGAGGGACAAGTGTGGACTATAACAAAATAAACCAATTAATAATGGTGCAGAACAATATACAAGCACCACAACTAGAGAACACTGACAAACACTGAGGGCTAACACTAGAAAAGACTAGGAACATAAACACAAGCAGAGCAGAATTAAATCAGGCACGAGCAGGGTAAACCTTAAACAGGGACACAAACAATAACACCAAGGAAACAGAAAAGCAATTATTATTAAATAAAAGGTTTAACCAACCAGCCTCAAACTCATGACCAGAGAGTTTCAGCCTCTAAGCCCCACACTCAACCCTTTGAGCTATGTAGCGGGCATACCGTAAGATGGGGGGGGGGGGGCCGGATGACCAGCAATGCCTGCTGGCCAAAATGGGGACAAGACAGGGTCGGATGGGCACAGACCCTGACAGAAGTCAGATGGAGGTCAGGGTATTGAGGAGAAAAGTCGCCTTGCAAGTAGTAGCAGAGGCACATTATCATGGTTAGAGCACCCCCTACTATTTTCAGGGAAGGTCTAGTTACTGACCAGGGTGGGAGGGGAGTGGGAACGATGATAGAAGTTGACTGGGGGGGGTGGGGGGTACTGGTAGCTGCAACGGTAAATGT